CTCGAAAGGAATTCCGCCTCTCTGGAGATCCTTCTGAAAGGATTTGCTGCGGAATGTCTCTTCATCCGATTTGAAGGCAGAGTCCTGTAATATCCTTCGCACATTTGTGTTCGGCAGGGGACTTTCGGAAGGCCGAAGTCGATGGGGTATCCCTCAGGGTCCACAATGCATCTGCAACAACAGATAAAAGGAGTTTAGAATGGGGTGGTAGACTGGGGTCGATAATTTTTGAAACAAAAAAAAACAGTAGTAAGAAACCCATCAGAAAAGGAGATAGATATGATACAAATGAAATGGAAAATAAGTTACGGGCGATCTGAGTTCGGGAAGTGGAAGGGGGTGAGTTTTTAAGGGTAAAAAATGGTTTATCTCAATTTTCGGCAAAACTACAAGTCTTATAAAAAAATTGAATAGGAAAGTTGTAAGTAATGAAAAGAACTCCAACTTTTGTATTCACAATTTTTTNTCTCTTTGATGACTTTTCTTCATCGTTAGATTCGACAAACGTTTCCAATTCTAGTTGATCTTCGAAATCTTCAAGACCATCACCTTCTCCATCTCCAATATTATCTACAATCTGCATTGGTTCTTCATCCACAAATTCATCTGAATCATCAACTTCCTCGTAGGTTTTTTCTTCCATTTTGGAGAAATTTTCAGAACCATGACAATTTGAGCATGAATTTGTGCATTTTTAACCGTGTTTCCGACATCCACATTTTATTTATTCATTCACCAATAAAGGGGTTACAAACAGATTAACAAATCCAATAGAGAACCCACTTTATAGTTTTAGGTTAAGTGGGCTTTGAGAAAAAAGAATGAAAATTCAAATTTTTTGTAAATTACATTGGACAATCGAAGAATAACATAATTCTTGTAAGAGTGACAGAGACTACAGAAATGGTCACAACTTATCGAGAAATTTTTTTTCATCCTGCGTTTGAAACAGTCCAAAGAGGTTTCAAAATATTGAATATCATTGCAAATTTCGTTAAAAGTTTTAAGCATTCTATAAAGTGGTGAATTTTGAGCAGCATTTGTCATTGTGCAAGTTGACTTAAAGAATTCTGTACGCTTCAACGTTCTTCTACATTCCATAGGCATAATATTGTATTGGCTCATAATGGGACTGTAATCGCTATTCGTAATTGGAAAATTTAATTCGTGACTAATGTGACGAAGAAGTTTGTTTTGAACTCTCTCAATACGATCTATGTTTATGTATACTGAGGATTCCAAACAAACGACGCAAAGCAAAGCCTATTATGTACATATGCATAATATAAATTGAGGAGAGGTTTTGCCGTTCTGAAATTTTAATAGTTTATTTTGAGGAATCCAATAATAGTATTACATTCATTGACGGTTTTTTCTATATGTGAATTAAATGACAACTTTGCGTCCATAATTATTCCCAAGTCTTTAACTTCTGAAACTGATTTCAGTTCGTGATTTTCAAAGTAATAGTTATTTCTGATTATATTTTTGTTCCCGGAGAATGAAACTGACACGCATTTTCGTGGATTGAGGAACAGATCATTATCATCATAGAATTTTTTGAGCCGCTTCAAATCCTCTCGAATTTCTCCGCTGGCATATGAATCCTTCACTGTGTGATAGATTTTCAAGTCATCGGCATATAGTAGAAATTTTTACTTATTGAAGCAACTAGAGATTTCATTGATGTATATAATGAAGAATAAAAGACCCAAATGGCTGCCTTGGGGAACTCCGGAGGATACCGTGAAGGGAAGTGGCGTCAATCCATTTATGGCCACCATTTGTGATCTGTTATTTAGTTCCTTTAATTAAATTTTGTGACTAATTTTTATAAGGCCGTACTGAAGTCGGTGTATACAACATCAACTTGAACCTGTTTATCCATCGAGTTTAACAAAAAATCGGTGAATCCTATTAAATTAGTTTCTATCGACCTATGGGAAACCATGCTGTTCACTGATTATGATGGCCTTGGTCGTATCAAGGATGTTATTATATATTATTTTCTCAAAAAGTTTGCCAAATACACATAATTTACTGATCGCCCTATAACTCTTTACATTGTGTCAGTCGCCGTTCTTGTAGATTGGTGAGATATGCAAAATTTTCCATTTAAAATGAAAAATTCCATTCTGCAATGATTCATTGAAAATAGACAGCGCAGCGTGACTCACGGTCGATGATAGGTTAGACGTTTCTGGAAAACGCAAAGCATGATTTTTCTGAAAATTTCACCTCTCACATTTCCTTACCTTTTCTATCGATCTAAAATATTTTCAGCATTGCGGCGTTGCCACTTCCATCAAAAAGTCCTAGCAACTTTATTTTTT